AATTAAACACAAGTGCAATTAGGTGATTTTTAAGTCTTAGAGATCTTTTCAATGTTGCTACATTTTTCTGGACTCAGAGTATAAGCAAACTGAGTTGATCTAATTGCTAAATCATTTGTGTCTGTCAGCATCTAAATGTTGTTAATGTGAGCATCATATTTATTCATTCCCTGCTTAAATTGCACCACCAGTTCAGAACTCACCGACTGTGCACCACTATAGCTGCCTTTGGCATTCCTGTCGTACCAGACGTGTAGATGTAGAAAAGTCTGTCTGCATGGAGAGAGAGGGGAGACATTTCTTAGGAGGATGTTCAAAAAACCCTTTTGTGCTTTGACATGTGTGGTATGCACCCGGACACCCCCATCAATCCCTGACATGTTTCTGTCTCTCCTTCCATTTCCTACGTCTGACAGGCCGAGCAAGCAAAGACTTGAAGAGCATCACCTTAAGAATGCCGAGTGATAATAAATACAGAAAAGCACATTGATAAAACAAACGCAGAATTTATCACCTAATAACTCAAATGTTGTGTGTAGAGTAAAATTTTAATGTATCTCATCAGAAAAATCCAAACATTGTTTACAGTGCATGTAATTTTATGTGACTACTCTGCTGAAGTGAGCTGGTGATTTGTTTGACAGCAGTGTGTGTTCGTGCATGTGTTGTCAAGTAGGTCGAATCTCATAAAAAAAACGACCCGAGAGAGTTAAATCTGGCAGCCAGCAGTTTACTCTGGCAGGCAAAGACTTGCGAAAGATAAGAAGTTTGTTCTGTGTAATACAAGAGCCTGATATGGCAACAGAATCATTCCAGTAATCCAATGCATAAACACTGCAAAGCCTCACCGTTAAATTCTTTTTCCAGTTTGTACCGTGGTGGGTGTTTGGGGAAACCAGCCAGCAAAGTGTCCAAGTTCTGAACTTGGAGGCTGCAGAGTTTCTTCTCATCCTGCTGCTGATCACCAGTCCTGAACAAAACCATGTCGGGCTGCAACAGGTCGATCACTTCTGACACCGCTGGAACATAACCAAAAACCAAGTGTTTGAAATGTAGAGCAGGCAAATCAGCACAGGTTGTTTTTTTAACTAATCAGTAAAAAATCCACTTAACGGCTTGTTAGGTTTTGTGTTGGACTGTATCCATCCTACTAAACTGCTGTCAGCAAATACCATCAATCAGCAAATATGTCCACTATCTCTATTTTTAAACTTTCATCTTCACTGTAAATATATATATATATATGTGTGTGTTTTTAACTGTAATTTTTAAAAACAATTTACTGTTAGTTTACAGATTTTAATTTACATGTGTCACCATGAAAAAGATGAAAATAATATTCACATCAAAAATCTGTGTTTTTATAAATGATAATTTGTTCTTTTACTTCTTTGACTGTAAAATTGCACTTATTACAAGATTTAAATCAGAAATATCTTGTTGTTTTACAAAAATCTGACATTACTTGAAAGAAAAATGAAATACATTAAAGAATAAAAGGTTGAAGTGAAATTAGTAAACTAGTAAATCCACAGGCAAAAGTTTTAATTTATGTTTCACCATAAAAAAAACTGTAAATAATTTCCACTGTATTTTTTATAAATGGTAATTGACTCCCATACACTGTAAAATTACACTTTGTACCTGTATTTAAGTCAAGAAAAAATAATATTATTTTACAGATACTTGCTGTTATTAGAAAAAAAAAAATTTAAGATTGAAAATTGGTATTTTTCTGCTATTTCATAGATTTTCCCCTTCTGCGAAATTACACATAATATCTTGCAAAAATACAGAAACAAGTATCTATTTACATGTCAATTGAACAAAAAACAGGCCAAAATTGTAAATAATGTCAAAATGAAAAATCTGTGCTTTTAAAAATCGTAATTTTTACAGTGTTACCAAAACATTATGCTTTTTTATATATTTAAATCATTCAAAAATATCACTGTTTTCAGATCATTTGCCATTATTCTCACTATTTTTACAGTCTTTGAACATTACAGTATTTTTACTGGCACACTTGCTGCCAGATTTTCATTGTTTTTTTTCACAGATGATTTAGTTATTTACAGCGTACGATTGCTTCCCACCTTCAGTCATCTCTGCTCCGAACACCACAGCTCGAGCTCCAGACACATTGACACAGTGCAGCAGCGAGTGCAGACGAAGGTTGTGGTTGAGGAATGCAGCCTCTACACCCACCGTAGCCAGGCCCAGCCACAGAGCCACCGATAACGGCTGGCTCTCCAGGTACAGTGCCACCACATCGCCCTCCGTCCAGCCCTGCGCCAGAGCCCAGTGTGCCACAGCATGGCATCGCTCCTGCAGCTCCCTGAAACTCCAAACCTGGAGAAGCATGAAGATATAAATGCTGTAAGTTTGATTTCTATCACAGTGAAGGTGCCAGTACTGTTTATCTGCATTGTTTTGATGAGTACCCACCTCTCCTGTGGCCTCGTAGATTAAGGCAGGTTTGTCTGGGTGCAGGGTCACCATCTGAGCAAACAGGGAAGGGATGGTGCTTCTATTTCGCAGATTACGGTACATGGATAACCTAACTTTTAGTATAACAACCAAGCACCTAAAGGGAGTAGAAAGGTGAGGAATGAGGGACAGTTGAACACAAGAATGGAGTACTCAGCATGGAAGATGAGTATCTGTCAAACAAGAGATATCAAGTTCCATGAAAACTACTTGCATACATTAAGTCTCTCTTGACGGTGCACGCAGCTACATGAATGTACTTCCAGGATCCCATCGAGAAAATGCCCAGCCCGAATCCCACCAACAGGATATGGAGCCATGAGAGGGACAGCAGCAGCACGGCCCCCAAAACAACGAGGCTCAGTGTGACACCGCTAGTCAGAGGCATGATGTTATCTGTGGGGACCAAAGCGGTGACTTTACACTCACAAAGAATCAATCAAAATGCACAGAATTAGAACTTGGTGAGAGGAGGCTTACCTGTGCAGGTATTTTAAGTGTTCTCCAACAAGAATACAGAGAGTTGACAGCAGGAACGGTCTCTGAAGAGCTCATTCAGCAGCTCTGCAGGGCGGTCCAGTGTTTACAGAGTGGCCGACAGAGGCGAAATGCCTGATAGGAGGCAGCACATAGTCAGAGAGCGGTGCAGGTTGCGACTCATAGCTCCTGCGTCACCACACCGAGGGTGATTCACTCCCCCCCAGGAGGCAAAAACGTCATGTAGAGTCTGATTTACGACATGATAAACGTCTGATTTCATGCCGAAAGTATTAAAGTAATTGTTCGTTTGAAGGGAAACATTCAGAATGCCACATTAGTAGGTGAATTCCTTTAAGTCTAGTCGAAGTACAACGAGAAAATATTCCATTACATGTAAAAGAACCACATTTAGAACAACAAGTAGGTTCTCATCTTTAGATTGCAGCCTTTAAAAAGTAAAAAGCACAGCAGAAGGGCACCTGTCACGGGATAATTATCACTTCACATCCAAGATTTAAAGCCAGAGTCGGGTTAATCTGCTATTTTGAAGCAGTTGTGTGTTATTTTCTTTTTGCATGTTTTGTGCATTTAAAGTTTAACCTGAAAAATAGCTGTCAAACGAATGCAGACTTTAAAATTTGAACTATTTTAAAAGAAAACTGGGTATGCTTTTCTCCATACAAGAGAAAACTCATAAGCAGTAACATGCAAACCTGCTCAGTTTTGCACAGTTAAAGTTTTTTGTCGCTACAACAGTTCAGAGAAAATTCAAAACACACCACAAAAGCAAAACCTGTCACGTAGAAAGATTGATTTGAAATCCAGAAGTTTGCTCCCATTTAAATCAATTTCTATAAAACTGAAAACATGAAAAGAACTACAAATATTTCAGAGCTTTTTTGGGTTTCTGTTTCACTTTGTGTCTTTCTAGTTACGCTACATTTATCATGCCTGCTGTTACTTGTGCAGCTGCTATTATGCGAAGGTTTTGGCTTCTTTTTCACTTACTTTCCATAGAAATACAATTAATTTTGTGACACTCCTCGTGGCACTGAGGAGCAGGTCTTCCATCACGTACATCCTTGAGAAGTTACACAACGGACAATCTTTGACACGGTTTGATTGTTTTCCTGAATGCAGACTAAGTGTGACTCATGCAGACTTGTAACTGTTAGTCAAGAATGAAATACAATAAGTTTGCTAACTGTAACTTTAAAAAGTCCCATCTGTCATATCCATCTGACTAAAGCATCCACAGTATGCATCTATCTGATAAGGACTAACACTAATAAACCACACATTTTAAGCATTTTTCTGATGAAGTAGAAGCTTTAATACATTTTGTGGTGCATATTCTTTAAGGAAAACAGTACCGAAAGTAAAAAAATAAGTTCATATAGTATATTCTAACAACAACAATTCTTACATTCACCAAAAGCTGCATAATGCACGTAGCTTTTTCACATAAAAAATACATTTTGCAATGCATGAATAAAAGGCTTCGATGGTCTTTTTTTTTTTAAAAAAAAAACAACAACAAAAAAAACTGCAGTGACACTTATGAACCGAAGAACAGTTTAGCTGTTAAAACCAGCACTTCGGTGGTTTTAATTGGGTTTGTAGAACAGAAAGGGAGACGTAATTTAAATCTAAAGAAACGGTCAATCAAGGAAAATTTTCATATCAAAAAATCAGAAAATAAATCCAAAGATTTGCTCCCACTTTCTCTAAAGACAACATGTTCTAAAAGTTTCTATAAAAACTGAAAATATAAAAATATATTTTCACAACTGTTCAGGTTCAGTAAGCGAGGCTGGTTCTCAAGTCTTCTCGATTATTACATGCACTGTGCGAGTGAAGGTGTGCCGGATCCTTTTTTTTTGTTTTTTTGTTTTTTTTACAATGGAAAAGTGCAATAAAATAAACTCAGGTCTGTACAACTCCCATTACTGCTGAAGTTCTCATTTAAGGGATTGTGACTTCAACCTTTACAGTAACTAACAATGTGTGCAGGCACAAGCTAACAGCTATAATAAGAACATAACAAAATGGAAATGTATTCCTTAAACACAGTTTGATTGCAGGAAGCTGCAGGCTTATCAAAAGGGTGGGTCTGTTTTTGTAAATTGCCCAGACGGATTTGTTTACTTGGTTTACAATTTCAAGAACAACCAAAAAAAAAAAATCAAAATATAAAATTCACATACACCTGTGGATAAAGGGCACAGCTCAATTGTAAACTGAGATAGATTCTTTTCAAAATAGCCACAAGTGATTTAAAATCACTTATTTTGTTTAGGAATGAAAGTAACAACAGATATAAGATCTTCGCAGGAGCCCGCATGGGAACATGAGCAAACTCAGAGGCACTTCATGGGTAATTTGTATCATCAGTCAGTTGTTTCTTTCCCATCACAACATACTGTTGAATACAGTACATGAAAAAAAAAAGTTATCTGAGAAGATCCCATAAACAAAAAAAAGCACGCCCATCCTTATTTTTACATTAAACATTTATATAAAATAGAGTGCAAACTGTTTTCTTGTGCTACTCATATTTTCTTGCAGCCGACATAATTTCGGCTTCGCCGTCTGCACTTTAAAATAAATATATCTATATTAGTCTCACTTTGAATCACTTTGAAGGGAATACAGCTTATTTTACGATTGTGATATGTTCATCGATGAACCGATGGGCTTCACTTCTTCAGCCTGTGAATAAACACTTTTAACAGTTGGCTTCTTCTTGCCTGCTGCCACATAAGTAACACAAATAAAAATCAGTCTTTATCGATACAACTCCATCTACAGAGAGTGCTGCAGAACACGATCAGTAAGGAAAATAACTAAATAAATGAGGTAAATGCCAGACCTTATGACCCTTAATACAACTGATTGGCTGATGGTGTGATTCAGTTTCATGGATTTAGGTTTATGGCTTTAAAGTTGTAAAAGAATTTGGTCCCACTATTTATATTAGGTGCTGAAAGGACTGAACTTCAACCACAGGGCGGATAATTACATCTGCAGCGGTAAACTACTGATGTGGTGGGTGAACTTCATAAAAACAAGTAATACCTGCTTGCAGATCCACAGTACCAAACAGTGATGTTTCATTTTGACATGAAAACCTTTGTGAAAACTCCGACACACTAATAAAACCTTGTGTATCAGAAATCCATTTTTACTTCTTTCCTAACTCACAAATCAAAGAATGTATTCTGCCATCCCCAGGTACAGAGTCACTGCTTTCAGTGGAGTTTAAACTGACGTAAAGGTGAAGAAATAAATGGCTGAATTTTTACTTGAAGTGATTCAAACCTTTAAAATGAGGGCCCAGATAGGCTAAAGGTGTGATAGTCTGTCTTTGGGGGAGAATTAAAAACAACAGCTCCTCAAATTTGTGATTCTCCGGTGTGCTGCCCACTTCGAGAACCCTACAGAAAGACAAACCACATCGTCAGAAACAGAGCAATTATTCAACCAAAATAGCAATTAAAAAATACAAAATTAGAATTAAAAGTCTGGTATATTGGTTGCTTTATACTTCTAGTCCACAACAAATCACAGGGAGTACTATACTTTTTACTCCTTTATTTGACAGCTGTTATTAGACACAGTACTTCAGATTTTACATAAAAATAAAAAATGATATTTTTATAAAATGCTGTGCAGTGTTAAATTGAAAAACACTAAACAAATGGATTCATGGCAATTGGACTTAGGTTTGAGCTCTGGAACATTTATCTTGTTGTCTTTAAATCATTTCTGTATAGTTCTGGCTGTAGTCTATGTTGTATGTCTTGCTAGAAAATAAATCTTACAGGTAGTCTTACAGCTTATTTGCAGAGTGCACCAAGATTTCTGTATGCTTTGCTGCATTAAATTGGCTTTTCAAGCCCTCCAGGGCCTGCTGCCAAAAAGCATCCCCACATCATGATGCTGCCACCCCCATGCTGCCCAGTGGGAATGGTGTGTCTGTGATGTCATATTCCTTACATTTCTTCATTATAGAGTTAACTGTACTCAAAAGGATATTCAGTGACTTAGACATTTTCTTTTATCCGTCCCCTGACGTATGCGTTTAAATAACCTTTCCATGGAGTTGCTTGATGTGCTCTTTGGCCGTCGTGCTGTAGTTATAGCCAGGAGCACTGATTCACCAGTGACTGGACCTTCCTGGTTCAGGTGTCTTTATACTGGTCACTTGGGACACATTCACTTCACTCAAATGATCTCCATTCTACTAATTGTGTGTCTTCTAGCAACAACTGGGTGCACCTGTGTTTAATTATGTGAGTCACTTTCAACAGGGTGAATTGTGCAATCACTTATTTTACATTTCAGATTTTTAACTAATTGACATTTTTATTTATTTATTTTTTATTTATTGATATTTTATTTTATTATTACTTTTGCAGAATTTAGTTTTCAGTTTGACATGAAAAAGTCTTTTTTTTTGTCAATCCTTGCCCTAAAAGCCAAATAAAAGGAGAGAATAGTATTTATAGTCACTGTATATTATTTTTATTTAAGAAAAGAATATTTCTTCAATAGCTGTACTGGAATGAAGCTTTTGGTGCATTAATATTTAAAACTACTCAGGACTTTTGTGGTCTTTGGGACCCCAGGCCACTTTGGTTTTGGTGACAGGTATTGTTTTTTTTATTTTTTGAAGAATTTATATATTTATATATATAAAGAGGGACATTTGTCATGCATTTGGAACCAAAAATACATCAACTTATCAGAAAATGTATTTAACATAATATAAACGTCTATAATGAACACCAACAAATATTTTGCACATATTCTTTCTTAGGGTCCCCAAAAGACCTTCTACGTATGGCAACATGAAAGTCCTGAATCGGGTTAAGCAGTATTTTAATGATGCAACTGCTCAAGAATAAGCTCATATATAATACTTCATACACTGTTGATCTTTTGTCAGCAAAACACAGATTCTTGATTAAAAATTATAATCTGCACAGCAACCAGTCACTACAGATGTCAAATAAATGTAGCGGAATAAAAAGTACATTCCAAAATTGTACACAAGTGTTGTGGTTGAGTCAGTGTTCTCAGTTACTTCTCACCACTGTGTGCTTGTGACACAGACGGTGAAAATGTTGATGGGTAATATCGCTTCGTGCTTACCTGCGACTGACTGCTGGAGGGATTGGTGGTGCTGAAGTCCGAGTATCTCTTTTTCTGTGGCGTGCAGATACAAGAGAGGAAATGGGCGTACTCGTCTCTCACCTGCAGAGGGCATCAGAACATCAGGAAATAAAATCCGCAGCTGCCAACTCTGACAGTGGTGCAATCTAAGACCTTTGCCGTCACATTTTCCCTTTCGGTTGATTTTTTTCTTTCTTTCTTTTAATCTATTGTGTTAATGTCCACGCCGAGCTTCACACTTACACAAGACTAACATATCCTACCTGTTTAGACAGCAGGCAGTGCATGATGAAGACCAGTGCACCCTGTAGGCTGTTGAGGATCGTGAAGATGTATGCCACTGCTGCTGGTCCCTCTTGAAACAAGAAGGCCCCAAACACCCACATCAGACCCAGGATGCACATCTGGGCTATAGCTGTCACTGTGAACGCTCTGTAGAATGAAAAAGGAGGATGGGACGTAAAGGTCAGTGAAAGAGAAACACACACAGAGAGATTATCCATGGATGACTCAGTTACCACTGCGCTATCTGGAAAACCCCTCAAGAGTGAAAGGAAAGAAAATAGGTTGTGATGACTGAAAAACGTCACAAAACAGACATTTCTTTATCAGTTTACGGTCAAATGAAAGCTTGTGGGGGAAGACAAGCCAAAGGCAACTGATGAATATAAAAGATTAGCATAAAGGAGGCCCAGTATTTCAATAACTGTCTCTGCCAAAAACCCTCTGCATGGGCCCTTTGTACGAGTCACTGATGTGTCCTTATTTTTCCAGTGAAAAAGAAGATCAGGTTTTGATTTCAATCCCTCAGAATCAGCGAGGGCTTCTTTCACCAACTTGCCCATGAGTCATTAATCAAACAAGAAGACCCGAAATGTGGATAGGGTACACGTTTTTCCACTGACAAAAAACCACACAAACATTTGAATTATAATTTAAAGCTTTCTGAGTTTTTCCTCGACTGAATAAACTCCTTTCTTGCTTGCTTTTTTTTTTTTTTTTTTTTTTTGCACAACAAGTTTTAAGTTTCGCAATTCCTTGGACTAAATTACACGTCACTGATTGATGAGTCAGCGCATCCAAAGAGAGATGCTTTTTCATTTTGGCTCAGATGTGTTTTGCAGCTGCACATTTTTAAACAGAGAGAAGTAAAATAAAAATCAAAGACCAAACTTGCAGATAGACAGGGTTTGGGGGGGTAAAGCCCCTCAAGTAGCAGCCCATCAGAGAGCAAAGTGCATATTATGAAAACATTCCCTACATTTTTCCGTTCACAAAACTCCCACATTCTTTCCATCAAAGCATTTCTCAATGCTGCCCTACTGAATCTATATATGTTTTATCTTGGCGTCTGGTTGCGCAGCGGAGAAAGTAACGTTGCTAAAGACATTACAACAGCAGCAAAAATCCACACAGTTTCACACACATTCAAATAAACACAGACTGACTTGATTTTGTGCAGTTTGGAGAGGTCTGGGTTGAGGCTGGTGAACTTCTGGGCGAGTTTCCAGACAGTGACGATGAAGAAAAAGACATTCAGGAAAATGATGAAGCACACGGGGCCGTAGAAGCTCCAGATGAGGCCGTCTTTCAGGGATAGCCAGCAGCTGCAGATGGGAGGAAGGAAACACATGTTCATGACAGAGTGTCCATTACGCCATGGAGATAGATAACGGCAAGTGTGTCTAATCCACTCCCACTATGATGCAAGCAAGTGTGCACTCACATACGCACAGAAACGCGCACTTGTGTCTCTCATTTGCGCTCTTTAACACAACAAACAAGCAGTTTCCGCATAGTTCCCCCTTTAGTCACACACTTACTACTCGTTAGTGCCGTATCTCGTTGGTCTAATGATGCCAGACAGAGTGACGATAACAAGAGGTGCCCCGTAACCCGTGATATACAGGTAGAGAGGCCGGATGGTGGCGTTGAACACTAGGACAACCATGCGGTACAGCTGCACCCCTTCTAACAGCATCCAGGTGAAAACGCCCAAGAAGAAGAAGTGAAGCATCGCTGCAACAAACCTGCATCCGGCCTGTATGGAGAAAGAACAGATTAAAGATGAATGAGTGCTCTGTCATTGCATTTAAAGCAGTAAAATGGTTAAAAAAAAAAAATAGGGTTCTGAGTTGAAACTAGTCACACAAATATACAGTTTTGATCATCTGGATAAGATTACTACTTGAAATAAGACCAGTGGAGGAAGAGGTAGAACTGCCTTTTAGTCTAGTAAAAGTAGAAATACCAATATATGTGAAAGTCCTGCTTTCCAAATCTTTAGGTCAAAACCAAAATCTCACGACATACTTTTGGTGTAAAAGTAACTGCTGCATTTAATTTCAAAAGTAGCATAAAGTAGAAATAATTGAGTAAAGCACAAGTTCCCCAAACTGTACCGCTCATTAAGAAATGTTGGGTATTCCGAGACGCTTAAGTAGAAAGCAACTGGACTTCTCTTTTAGGTTCTTGAAGAGGATTCTTTCAGAAGAACTGTAGAAGCCTCTTGGATGAGAGATGAAATGTCTTCAAGAACCTTAAAAGAGAGGTCCAATTGCTTTCTACTGAAGCTTCTAGGAATACCATGACCTAGATGATTGAGAATCTCCAGACATAAGGGATGTTACCATTTTATTTCATTTTGGAGTGTCCTCATCCAATGCCAAGCTTCTCTTCTCTCATTTTGTGATTTCCTGCTTCATCGTGAGCATACTCAAGTGTACTATTTATGAAAAACGAAACTTTTTTCCCCCCTTTTTGTGCCTCAGGAAAACCACAAGGGTGTTCTGCTGCAGCGTGGCAGGAAGATGGGGTTTGAGGTTTATTACTGCAGGAATGCTCTGATGTTACTCTGAAGAAGACTGTGCTTTGTAGCATCTACACGAGAAGATGAGTGTCATGTGATGTAATTACATGTTAAATGTGGTTTATTTAGAGGTATGGGCCTTTCCCTACGCTGGCACATGATGTTGCCGTGCGTGCAAATGCAGTTAACAAATAAAGGCTACCAGTCAGCTTCAAGTCCAGCTATCTCCAGCGGGTCAACGCAGTGTAAACATCCAATTACATTTTTATTCACTGCATTCCGTGTAACTGAAGTCACGGTTTGTTTTTACGTACTTCAGGTTTAGTTTGTGAAATGCCAGCCAGGAAGATGAGATCAGCAAAGAAGAGGCAGATGCAGAGGTGCAGGTGGATGGTGGTGCGAGTCCCTTGTATGGATCGGCAGAACATGAACGTCAGGATGCAGAATATCAGACACAGCAGGGAGATGGTCAGCCCGATCTTGGTCACCAGCAAGAGCCCAAAGGTGTGCTGGAAGAGAAGACATGATGTGAGTAACTGGAAACCGTTCTGGATTTCTAGAGAACAAGAGATGGAAGTTTAATATCCATCATACTTTCATTGGTACACTTAAGAAACAAAGACTTTTTTTTTACATGGCTGCAAACCCAAATGTTAATGTTACATGCAGTAAAACCAACGTATTCAGCTGAAACGCTTTAAAAGCTCAGTGGCTGGTAGAAATTTTCTTCTCGTGTTTTAATAGAATATTAGTATTAAATAATGCATGTAGTAAATTAATACTAATATTTGTTAGAACAGGTTTCATGTGCGTCTTTAGTCTGCGGCTGTGTCAATATGCCGTGGTTTTTGGGTTTTGGTTTTGTTTCCTGTTTAGTTCCTGTTTTATTTTGAATTCCCCTCCTCGTGTGTTGCTTGTGTTTTCACTTCCTCCCCTTGTCCCTGTTTCCCTCTTCGTTTGATGGCCCTGATGAGTTTCATCTGTGTCTTGCTTCCCCAATAAACCTTATTACCTGTCTGCTCATCTGTTTTGGTAGTTTTTAGATTTGTTCAGTCAAGTATGTTATCTAGATGTCACACTTCAGACTTTTAGTTTGCTTTTTTCTTGGACCTACCAGCCTGCGTTTGTTTCTTTATCCGTCAGCCTTTGATAACAAGGTTTTTATTAAATTTTTGTCTCTGTCTGCCTGCCTTCAGGGTTTGCACCTGGATCCTCACCTAATAATCTCCTGACCCGCGAAAAACATTCATTTCTTTGGCAGTCAAAGCCAAAAAGCAATTTTTTTGTGAAGTTTTGCAACACTAATATGTTTGCATAAGAGACTAATAGACTTAATGTGTTGGAGACATTTTATTACATTTTTTTTTGGTTTCCATTTAGGTGTGTTTATCTGTTTCTTACCTCCATGGGGTAAAGGGCCATGAGCACAGCAAAGCTGCTCAGATGTTTACACGTACAAGAAGTGTGTGTGGCATTAGAGTACTCTGGTGAGCAACCATCTGTGGACCAGACTCCTTTTTCATTCCAGTATGCGCAGATGTAGCGCAGCCGAGGGGACTCCGCTTCATCCTAAATCAAAACCAATGCAACAAAGATGGGCTGTTACTCGAAAATGATCGAAAGAAATGACACATCGGTTAAATTTGGACCACTGTCAAAGAACTGCGTGGGCCTACCTCTAGATGTCTGAGGGTGATTTTAACAGGGTGATTCAGTTTCTGAGTGGACGGGTTGGAGACCACAACAGATACAACTTTAGAGGAGACCTGGAAGGACGGCTCCATACCATCTTTTTGATATTCTTTGAAATCCTCAAAAGACTCGTTCATGGATTGCTCAAGGTTTTTGTAGGTCAACAATGCGGCCAGAGCAAAACCTGTAAGAGACACTCGGACCATGATTATATTATAGAGGAAAAAATTACTTTTTTTTGTCAGAAGAGAAAAGAAGTTTACCGGGGTATGTTCCTGTCCCAGCTGCTGTCGTCCAGTCGGTGTCGAGGCTAGCGTTTTCATTGATCAGACGGATTGGTCCAGTTGGTCGGGTCTTTCCTCTTTGAACAGCAATCTCTACATCTATTCAAGAAAATAACAAATGGTAAACTTCCTTTGCATGGTTAATGTTTCATTGTCATTCAGGAAATAGAGCTTTTGAGCTGTTTTCAGATCACAAAATGAGCTCATGGATTGAATTTTGTTACCAGTCTCTGTGGTCTCCATCTTGGTGTGGTTGCCTTTGAGCTGAGGACCGATGAGCAAAATAGAGTTCTCCATTGTGCCGAGCAACTCGCTCACACCGTCGCTGCTGTTCAGTTGTCTGGGAGACAGCATCACCTCAGTGGCCGTGAAAAGTTTCTGTCCAAGATGCAGGACAGGAGGGACATTGAGAACACTACCTGCATTTGCATTTGGTGTTAAAATGTGTGCGTGTTTTGTGGCTTTTTGCTGACCTCCAGTAGCGCCTCTCCATCAACCTTCCCTACACCAGCAGAGCTTGGGTTAGACAGACTCAAACAGCTGTTTCTCATCATGGACAAAATGTCTGCCAGGCCTGCGAGCGACTAGGAGAAAAAGAGACACGGAGAATAATGAGACTATTCAGCTCGTCCTGTAGCGAGGTTCATGTATACTAAACCCTGCAGGGTCACAGACTGGTACTAGAAATAGAGAAAAAGAGCTGAAATGTTCTTTAGCAAAAAAATTGGACTCTGGATTAAAGACAACTTGAAGATAAATACTCTGCTGGAACTTATATTTTTTCTGTATCTATATGTGGTGCAGGATTATGCAAATAGTTTTGCATCTAAACTTACTTGTGCAGCTTCATCGTCGCCACCGAAGCTGTTACAGTCAAGCTCTAGGTGACACAAAGCGCAACATGAAACTGTTATGACACCAGATTCATTGAAAGGAGAAGAGTGTGGTAAAATCTTCACAGGAAAGCAACAGTGCCAACTTGTATCTGATCAACATAGTGAGACACAGACCACTGGCTGTGTGGAAACGGATCAGTCGACGCAGAAAGTACAGAACGTGTAGCAAGCAAAATTACAATGATGAGATTTAGAAGATAAACAGGTGCCAATAGCTGTTATGATGTGTGAATTACATTCGTGCGTTTAGAAGGTTATGCAATGAAGCTGTGAACCTCTAGTTCTTTCAGATAAGAATTATGAGGAAATAAAGCCATGAAATGCACACTTTATCTGAAACAAGCAAAGGTAATGGAGGGAAACAGCACGTGCACAAACTCACCTGAGCACGGCGTCCTTTTGTTGCCGTAATTGGTGTATCCTTCTTGGCAAATGCACCAATAACTCCCAAGAACATTATGACAAGTTCCTTTCTTTCCACAGATGTCTTCGTTGTTATCTTTCGCGATCTTGCATTCATTTATATCTGCGTGAGGACAGAAAGATAAATGATCATTGCTCGGACGATGACTTTGGTGACACAGGCGTAAACACATCTTAATATAGAAAGGTATTGCCCGGGCCCACAAGGGAACAAACATCTCCACAGTGTAAGTAGTAGCAGCATGGTCGTGTGAGTTTTTCAGTGCTGGCAAAAAGATCTTAGAGGTTTTTCTGAGCTTTCCTGGCAAACAGTGTCGTGAGTTGTTGTCTTGCCATTTCAGGATAGTTAAAAGCTACAATTAAAACTTAGCAGGAGGCGGGAGATGGCTTTGTGGTTTAGGTCAGATATAATCACGATGACGCAGAAGAGTGTGTGACCTTTGTGCGATCATCACAGGACAAGCAGATTTTAACATAGGAATAGGTCATTTCAATAAACCGCTTTTATTTGGTGCAAAATCCCGAAGATTGTTGTCAGAGCAGCTGTTCCCATTACGCATCAATACAATTTATTTATGTAACAAAACACAACAACAACAAAAAAACAACACAATCCCTATTCCTCTTCTAAACTTATTAGCAATAAACTGCACCGGCGCTCTTGGCGGTTCTGCTACGGCAGCTTTACTTGGTACCGTCTGGTGTATCAGTAGTTTGTAAGCAAATCTCAGTGAAATTTACCTGCATAACAGAGTCAGTTCATATTTTTAAGTCTTATCTATTTGTGCTATTGCTGTGCTGGTTGTAGCGTTAAATGTAAAGGTTTCTATAATTTATATAAACTGTATGACTTGATGTTTGAGCATCTCTTAAAGTTTTGTTCAGAACAGTTTTGTATGAGCAAGGGCAGGTTAGAAGTGGTAAAACTGTGACAGAAGGTATGATGGATTTCTATCGACTGAACAAAACAAATTAATTTGAAAACACAGTGAATCCTTGGATTTGTTGCATTTTTGTGTATTTTCTGTAGGGTTGCCACTAAAGCTCAAAATTAGTATCATTCATTAATGATTACTATGGAATCTTAGCTGTAATATTCATTCGCGTCAGGTAAAGTTTCATTTTATATAACTTTTTTAGGGTTTTGATCTTTAACATGTAAATTACTCCATTACATTCACACCAAAAACAACACTGTAGGGTGTTGATAGCGATATTTAAACTTGTCAATTCATCAAGTCGATCATATTTTTAACCTGCGAAGCACTTTGTCGGTATGGCTACTGTCTGGCTACTGCTTCTTTTCGTGTGTGCTTCTGTTGTTGGGGATAACACTTGTATCTTTTCATGCTTTCATGGTGATGTGCTTCCTTGTTCACAATGAAAATTACACTGTACTCATCCAATATCTTGACATTTTTTTTACAGTATTGTTAACCTGCTATTCATTCCGACAAGGCATATTGAATTCATAACTGACTTGTTTGATAAAAAGCTGTCATGTATAATATGAAAAACAAGAGCTTAACACAGAAGTTCCAACTCAACACATCAGACCCCGCTTATTACCAACTGGAGGGGCCATAAGTTCACTTTTAATACTTTTCCA